GGCTCCTGCTCAGGGTCGTGGATTGAGATGACGGAGTAGAGAAGTGTGAAGTTGAGAGGTGAGTTTAGAGGTATGTATTAGCCATTTGCGGGGTTTGGGTCCATATCTTATTACTTTCTATCCACTATGGGAGGCTACCTCTCATTGAGCTAGAGTGGAAGGAAAACAATGGAGCGGGCAGGATGAAATGGTATTTGGAAAAGCTCAAAGTAACATTGAGAATGTTGGTTTCACGATTTGTTCAAGTCCCTGCATAGATTTCTCTCTCCCGTGGATTTTCTTGATAGATTTACTTTAAAGGCAGTGTGGTTGGGGGTGAGAGCAAGATTGATACCTGCGTAGTCTAAACGCCTCCAGGTGTAGCTATATATGCGCGTGTATATAGATGTGTGTCTCTGCATATACACAGAGATGTTTTTTTCAAAGACTATAGAAATTAAGATAAGAAAGCCCTCACTTCTTAACCTGACAATGTTTATACTTTTGCTCCCAGAATGAATGATGTTTTACTATGCATTAAGGAAAGGAAATTGCAAGGCATCCTGAAGCAATGAGTAGAAAGCTAGCCTTGAGGTCAGGAAGCCCTTGGTGCAAGGCCCACCTCTAAAACATATTCTAGTCACATCACATAGCCTCCTAGAATTTCCTAAAGTTAAGTACATAAGTTACAAAGCAGCTGCAGATAAATGTGTGATTAGGATTCAGAGTTCTCTATTTCAGTGGAATCACAAGTCCAATTCAACAACAACAAAACAACCACTAAATGTGTAATAAGAAGTAAGCTTTGTTTATAAATCCCAAGTTTTACAAGTAATGCATTTCAGAGACCTCCAGGGCATTGTGTGTGGAAGTCTAGGAGACCTGAGTTCTAGTCCTGCTACAACTAGCATCCACTTTAAACTTGGGCAGGTTATTTAACTGGGGCTGTTAACAAGGCTGCCAGTTGACTGTTGATCTCCCAAAGCAGGCAGCCCAAAGCCTGATAGTACAGGAACAGTGCAGCAAGTGGGCCTTGAAACATTCAGTCTCATTGTACAAATTCAAAAACTGAACCCCTGCTCACCAGCTTGTGACTTCCAAATGTCCCCTCTTGGCAGCTGAACTTTATTTGCTGAAATAACTAAACAAATGTAGTACTGGAATGTAAACTCAAGATAAATCAGGTTGCTGACATTGAAAGTCAACTTTCGTTTCCTTCATGAATGCTGAAGATTATTTTGAATTTTTTTAATAGTAAGTGCAGGCCATTTTGAGAAGGAAATTTTGTAACTGGTGTGTGTGTGTGTGTGTGTGGTGTGTGTGTGTGTGTGCACACACACACACACACACACATTTATATTTGTCATTTTGGATTTTTACAAAATACCACAAAGACTTGGTGTATCTATGAAGCCAGAAGCCACATTTATTTAGCATTTTACTTCAGGTTTCATCTGGAAGAAAGGGAAGTGGAGAGCTGAGTGAATAAACTGCACAATTATTTATCAGTTTCTTTGGATATAGCTTACTTCAAGGATCTGTGATTTTCTGTGGGTAAGAACTCTTAATACTGGCATAGACTGACACCATTCTGAGTGGAGAACTTGACACTGGAAGGGAAGGAGCCCATGAAGAAAGAGTAGATGATGATTTGATCAAAGTATGGTCAAAAAACATGACCATCCCTGCGTGTGGTTGATTTGGAGTAGAAGTAAAGAAGTTAAGACAGCTTAGGTGGTGCAGTGGATAGAGCACCAGCCCTGGAGTCAGGGGGACCTGAGTTCAAATATGGCTTTAGACACGTAACTAGCTTTGGGACCCTGGGCAAGTCATTTAACCCCAGTTGCCTCAAAAAAAAATTTTTTTTTAACTTGATAAACTTGGAAGCAAGGGTATTTGAGAAAAAATTAACATTTAAGTTGAAGGCCCTATTTATAAGGCCAGGATTTGGTCAGGCTCAGAGTAACCTGAGTTCAAATCTTATCTCTGCAACTTATTTATTACCTGTATCACCTTGGGCAAGTCACTTAATTCCTTTAGGCTGGTTGTTTCCTCCCTAGCAAAATAACAGTAGATAAACTAAATGGTATATAAAAATCCCTTCTGGCTCTAAATATGTGGTCCTATGAAACTAAGACTTATTTTTGCATAAGAAAAATGCCACCCAAGTATTTGGGGTAATATATAATTTCATATTTAATATTCACGAAGGAAAGTATTGCTTGTATTGTAATTTAATCTCAGAACCCCTCTTAACATTGTATAGTTTGGGAAGTACCACGGTAGTTAAGAGAAGCCACTGGAATTATTATTATTATTATTATTTTTGATTGAGGGATAGGGTGTTATGTTACAAATGTTAGCTAATTAAATCTTTCTGTGTTGCTGCTGGCTGGATTTGGAGAGAGAAGAGACTCTTGGCAAGGATATTGTTTAGGAGAAACCCATGAGGAATGCCATATTCCAGGGTGCTGGCAATGGATGTCAGGAAGGAAGAGGATGCATTTTGAAGAAAAATCTATAATAGCTCAACCAATTCCTTTCAGCAGCAAAGATGAAGGGTCTGCTCTGTGCAAGACACTTATCTGCGTGCTAAGACAGAAAGGGAATAATGGCTGTCTTCAGGGAGCCTGCATTATTCTGGGAACCTGGATAAAGAAGGTGGGGAGAGGGGACAAAGATGACTATCCAGCTCTCCAGTTTTCTGGCTGACTGAGAAAAACAACAAATTTGGAAACTAGAATGAGCCCCAGCTCTGAGTAACCAAAACTTTTTTTAATGCTTTAGAACTATGTATCCAATAAAAATTTGCCACACTAGGAATCTCTCACACTAAAGAAAGTCTGGGAGATAGATGCAGTTTCCCCCAAAATCCCAAGAGAAAGGGAAAGAGGAGTTTCTGCTTTGCCCAGTCATCACTAACTGCTGGGAATGCTACGAGCATTAGGACTACTCTGAAAAAGGGACAAGATCTTCCCGCTGGAGGGGCTGACTGGGCCACCTTCTGACAAGCTGATTTAATTGAGAATTCCACCACAGTTGCTGCTGCTTCTTTATCTGATTCCAGATGCTGTAACTTTTGCAAATGGGAATTATAAGTAATTGCTTGCTTGCTTGCTTGCTCTTCTTGTGGTATTAAAGATTTGGAAACTGAGTGGGAAGCTTATGCGTTGAGGAAAGACTGAACAAGCTGTAGTATATGATTGTGATGGAATACTATTGTACTATAAGAAATGACAAGGAGGATGGTTTCAGAAAAACCTGGGAGGACTTGTATGAACTGATGCAAAGTGAAGTGTGTAGAACCAGAAGAACAAGCTACAAGGTAACATCAGCATCTTAAGAATGTGAAAGATTTAGTAACTCTGATCAGCACAAACGACCCCCCACAGTTCCAGAGAACTCACAGTAAAAATATGCTATCCACCTCCAGAGAGGGAACTAGTGGGTCAGAGTGCAGACTGAAGCATATTTTTTTCTCCTTCCTTCCTTCCTTCCTTCCTTCCTTCCTTCCTTCCTTCCTTCCTTCCTTCCTTCCTTCCTTCCTTCCTTCCTTCCTTCCTTCCTTCCTTTTTTGAACATAGACAATGTGGAAATTTGTTTCACATGTCTACATATATGTATTTGTAATAGATTTTCTTGCTTTCTCATTGAATGGGGGGAGTGGAAAGGTAGAGAGAGAATTTGGAATTGGGGAAAAAAAGAATCTAAAAAGTCTTTGTGCTTTAAAAAGATTTAAAGAAGTTTAAAAAACAGTTTTAAAAAGTTTAAAAAAGCAGTTTAACAATTTAAAAAACATGTAATTACTTATTTTAAGGAATAGCAATTTTTAATAAAATTTAATTTTGGTCATTTGTCAAAATGGCATCATATGCACCCCTCACAGAACAGAGATTAACTTTTTTATTTATTTATTTATTCATTCATTCATTCATTCATTCATTTATTTATTTGTTTGTTTGTTTGTTTGTTTTTTATGGATGAGGCGATCGGGGTTAAGTGACTTGCCCAGGGTTATACAGCTAGTAAGTGTTAAGTGTCTGAGGCTGGATTTGAACTCAGGTCCTCCTGACTCCAAGACCAGATCTCTATTCACTGCGCCACTTAGCTGCCCCTGAGATTTTTTTTTTGATGAATGTATACTCATGTCAGCTACTTTAAATTTTCCCAATTTTTAAAAAATTTCAATTACATTATTTCAACCAGCCTGTACATAGAGTATTTGGAATTTTTTGTCCTTTCTTGTGGGGCCACTGTTATCTGAAAGGACCTTGCTCTCAGAAGAACTTGTTTACTCTCAGTAAAGCCAGACTTGATTTCAAACTGTATAGGAGCCCTAGTTTAGACCTAATTTTATGGGCTTCTAGAGTAAAGGAAGAGGGCAATAGCTCACTGTTGGCTTTGAAAAAGAGAATGACAGTTCCTCAGAGTGTCTTTATGTTTAGGGTTTGTTTGGCCCAAAGAAATAAAATGTCATGGAGGTGTCTAGTCAGAAGAATATTGGCCTCAGAGTAGGAAGGCAGCTTTGAGGGTTGGCTTTATCTGGGATTAGCTATATAACTGTAGGGAAGTCACTTAAACTCAGTTTCCTCATCTGTAAATCAAAGATCATGATCCTTCTTAAACTACTCACCTCACCAGAATGTTGTGAGGACAACATTTTTAAAATGTTAAAGAAATTGTGTGGTGGATCAGAAGAATAGTGAAGAGGAAAGAAAGGAAAGACAGCGACTTAGTCCATGGGCCAGATATTCACTCGTAAGCCTCAGTTTCCTCATCTGTGAAACACAGTTGATACTACCCTTAAATATCTATCTTCCTGGGCCATTGTGAACCTCAATGAGAGGAGTATGACCATGGCAAACCTTGAAATGTCATATGAATAGCTGTTATTATTATTACTATTATTAAGCTATACAGCATCATACAGATTTGAGCTGCTCTTGTCTTTTTTTCTTGATTCTTATGAGCACTGCTGCATTCTCACCAGAAATGAATTATTCCCTTCTGTCTCTACCTAGCAATATTCAGGACCCCTCCCAGCCTGCATCTTCTTCAGTGGCCTCAGCAAGGAACGTTTCCCAGGGCCCAGAAAGTCCTGCTGCTTCTAGGCCCGGAGTGGCCGGCCTCACCACTGCAGCAGCTTTCAGACCTTCAGGATCCACAAATGTCATCAAGTCACCAAATTGGCAGCGTCAGAACCTAGCAGGTAAAAAGAGGGCATCTTTCTTACTTTCTACCACTGATGATCAAATTCCAAATTCCCTGTCTAAAGGTTGGAAGGACTGTTATTTGAAGGAAAGAAAAAAGCATTTATTAAGCACTCACTGTATGCTGGGCACTGGGGATACAAATGCAGAAAGTAAAGATAACCCCTCCCCTTAAAAAGCTTACCTTGTGCCATGTAAGTTGGAATATTTGATTTAAATACTTTAAAAAACTTTTTCTAAAACTATTACTTGGGTAACTTGGATTTAGAAACAAGTGTACAGAATAGCTGCTAGATCATAGGATCATAAATTTAGAACTAGCTTGTTCCTTTGTGTTGGAATTTGTCCCTGTTGGTGTGCTAATCAGCATTGTGCTTTCTATACAAAGTGGTAGAATTAGGACTATTAGATGTCAACTAGTTTTATATCTTTATCCCAGTAAAGAGTGTATATTATATAATCTCAACTGGGCCCTCACCACAGCAAGGCAATCCTTTTACATCTCCCGGATAGATTCCCTATCTCATTTACCACAGTGGCTTTTACCAACTTTTCCATCCTTCCTCAGACAGGCCACAGTACGGGGATATAATGTAACTGCTTTTACATACTTGAAAGGCTACCCATGTGGATTTGTTCTGTCTTGGTCCTGGAAGGTATGCTTAGGCATGATGGGAAGATCGATTTAGGCTGCAGCTGCCTCTGGAAGTAGGGAATTCCCCTTATTGGCAGTTTGTTGCCAAGGCTGTTTTGCCTGTTGGTGGGTGTATTGTAGTGGGAATCCTTCTTCAGGAGTGTGGCTTCGGAGGTCATTTCCAATTCTGAAAATTTGTGATGCTTGAAACTATGGTGAATTACTATTGTAAGGATAGCCATCAAAAAGATTATTCTGTAATCAAAGTGGGTGTGGGTGTGGATGTATGTGCTCTTGTGGTCCTGAAGAATTTACTGTTAGTGCCAAATACATACAGTAACTCATTAGGGACTAGCTGACTAAACTCAGATCCTTGGGGCTTTGTTTATACTGTGGATTTGTTTTAACAAGTTCCTTTTTTCATAGACATTACAAAGATATACTTAACTTTTCCTCCCCCATCCAGTATGAAATGCCCCAAATTTAGCATTTTTTGAGATCCTGATTATAGTAATGATGTTTGACTTCATTTTCTCTCTATACTAGAAGATAGATAAGAAGTCACTTTGTTCTGGGCAGAGTGGAAGCGGGCTGCCACAATTATATTTGGACCATAGACAGGTTGTCAGGAAAATATGCATTGGTCATATGCCCATCATAAAAGAAAAAAATTTAATATATGTGACCTCTCACTTTCTCAGATTCTAGAAAATCTCAATGTTTCCTTCCAGCTCTGGTAGTCTTATCATTTAAGAAATGCAGGTTAGGGGCAGCTAGGTGGTGCAGTGGATAGAGCCCTGAATTCAGGAGGACCTGAGTTCAAATGTGACCTCAGACACATAACACTTACTAGCTGTGTGACTCTGGGCAAAAAAAAAAAAAATTAAAAATTAAAAAAAGGAAGAAATGCAAGTCGATTGCCCAGAGACAGCTATGACATTCTTTGTTTTTTCTAAGTATGATTTTCAGTTTTTATCCACAAGGAACATTTAAACATAGCTGTACTTACCATTAAGAAGGATAACACATAAATCATCTACACCTTTTTTAGAAAAACAAATGAAAACTGAGCTTGTTCAAAGAATAAATGATTGTTAATAGAAAAAGAATACATAAAGAGCAGACTTAAGTAAAAATGCTAAGTAATGAAACCATTATTCAAAGAAACCATTGAATTCAGTTCAGCAAGTATTTACCGAACACTGACTGTATCTAGCATGGTGTAAAGTGCACTGATATTTTTATAGGTGCATTTAGTATTTAAATGAATGACTTACTTTATATTATTCTATATTAGCCTTGCCCATAAAAAGATTCCTCAGCCCCAAAATATTTTTAATATTTATTTTTTAACCAGGATAATTCCATCTTATCACCCACTCCTCCTACCCTTGTTGAGAAAAAAAGAGGAACAAAACCTGTGAGTCCTTCACCTCTCTTTCAAGAGGAGGTAGCTCATTGCTTAATTAATGCCATGATCAGAATTACTCAGTCTTTCAAAGTTGTTTGCCTTTACAGTATTGTTGTTACTGTAGATATTATTTTTCCAGTTCTGCTGACTTTACTCTATTAATACATACAAGTCTTACCAGGTTTCTCTAAAACCACCTCTTTCATCATTTCTTACAGAACAATAATATTCAATCATTTATTCAATATTTATATACCGTAACCTTTTCAGCCATTCTCCAGTTGTTGGACACTCCCTCGGTTTTCAATTCTTTGCCACTTCAGAAAGAGCTGTAAATATTTTTCAGCATCTTAAAGTTTGTTTTGCTTAGGACTAATCCCTTCCATGACCTACCCACCCTTTTAATTTTCCTTCTCTTTTCTTTCCTTTCCCCCTTCTTTTGTTGGTTGAAATATATTTCTGTTCCCAACTCTGTGTGTGTATATGTGTGTGTGTGTGTGTGTGTGTGTGTTCTTTGACCAGTTCATATGGGTGAAGTTCAAGTTCCAACCTTGCCCCCCACCCCCTCCTCCTTGTTAATATAGATTCTACTTGCATACACTCCAGTTGTTTCAGTTAATTTCCACTAACCTTCCTCTTTCCTCTCCTAGTTTGTTCCTCTTCCCCTCCTTTTCTATTATTTTTAAGATTATTAAGACATATTAGTGCCACTCTCAGATATTTTATCTAATTAGATGTCTTCTGTGACCCCTGATGATGATGATGATAGATTTCAGAGGGGACACATGTATCATCATCTCCTCGTATTAGAATGTGTTTAGTCCCTTATGATTATTCATTCATGTTTGCCTTTTTATTATGTTTCTCTTGACTCTTGTGTTTGCACTCAAAGTATCTGCTCAGCTCTGGTCTTTTCATCAGGAATGTTTAGAAGTCCTCTATTTCATTATAGATCCATTCTCCTCTACCTCCCTATCAACAGGATTATACTCAGTTTTGCTGGGAAAGTTATCCTTGGTTGTGATCCAATATCCTTTATCTTCTAGAATATTACATTCCACGTGCTCGTCTGTGTTTGTATCTTTGGTGCATCTGACCCCATAATACCTTTTTAATGTAGGAATCTTTTTTTTTAAGTTTGCTCATTCTTCCAGACTACATCCTGACCTTAGACTTTATATTTGGGCTGCATCCTATGCACTTTTGGTGGTATTGTCTGAGCTTCTGCTCCTGTTGCTACTTTCTTGGGGCACTAAGTATTGTATTATTTCAGGATCTCAGGGAAGCTCAGGCATTGGAACTGTCAGCTTTTAGCACTCTCAGAATGGTCTGATTCGGGGCAAAGTCTGATTGCTGCCCCCAGCCTGACTTCTGCAAGCTCCTGACTTTGGTTTGGGTCTTAGCAACAACAGGCCTGTGGACTTGCCTTTTGGGGAGTTTAGGTAAGCTGCTGCTGAACTTAGACACTATCAGCCAGCTGGAAAGCTCTGCTAGTTCAGAGGGACATAATGGTAGGCTGCTTTTTGGTCTGAGATTTCTGCCCTGATTATTCTTGGCTTTAGACAAGGTTAGAAACTGGAGCCGAGACCGAGTTCCACTCCTAGAGTCCCAGCTACACAGCTGTTGCTTGCTTTTGAACTAGTGTGCTGATACAGCTTAGAGCCCATCACTTGCTTTTCATCCTGGAATGCTTCCCCAAGTCCCCTCCTCAATTCACCCTGCATAGATGACCTGGAACTGGATTGTGAACAGTAGAGCTGCGAGGAGGTGCAGGAGGTGGTCCTGCCCCCTGCACAAGTGGAGGCCCCTCTGTGCTGGGTCTTCCTGACTCCAGGTCCATTGTGCCACCTTGCTGCCCCAACATCTCGGAGACAGTGTCATATAAAGTTGAAGTAAGAGATAGACCCTGCCCTCAAGGAGCTTATAGTCTAATAATGGACTGACGTTCATAAATACTTATGTTATATGACAATGTGAAAAATACCACCTAAATTGATCCTTGAAAGAAGGGTTTTCAATAGATTGGCAAGATGGCAAGATCCTTTTCCAACCAAGAGAAGACAGCATGAGCAAATGCAGGACGTAAACAGGTTATAATAAATATATCCAGTTTGTCTAGGTAGGTTGGAGTAAAGTTGAGTACAGGAAAAGGAGTTGTGTTATTATTTAATAGATACTCTGGAATTACTTAAGGTTGTTGAGTAGAGAAGTGAAATTATAAGAGTAAAGAATAGAATGGAGAAAGGAAGAACTTAACAGGCTTCATGGTAAGGGAGCATAAGGGCATGAAGTGACCTATTTGACGTGAGAATGGAAAGGACAGTGCAAATGTGAGAAATGTTGTCAAACAGGACTTAGCAACTGTGTGGAAGCAGGGATATGAATTAAAGGTCAACATCAAAGATAACTGCAGTTTCCAACTCACATGACTCAGATGATGCTGTCACAAATAAAGATAAACAGAATGCAAGAAGTTGTAGGGAGGGAGCATCAGGTTTTGAAGGAAAGATGATTAGTTCAGCTTTGGCCATACTGACTTTGAGATTCTGGTGAAGAAATAGTTAGTAAGAGGTTAAAAATGCAGGACTAGAGCTTTGGAGAGAAAACTAAGGATGGATTTCAGAGTTACCTGGATAGAAGATGACATTGCCATGGGACAGATTGTAAAGAAGATAAAAAGCAGTCTTGGAAGATAGCTACATTTAACAGGCAAAAGAAGGTGTAAATAGCCAGCTAAGGAGACACTTATGTGAGATAATATAAATTTATCCTGGGCATATAAGCAACAGGGCTTTGTCTTTTTCTCTAGTAACATCCAGCTGCTTTCCAGTAGAAGCAAGGAGGAGGTGGAAGGTCAGCATTAAGCCGAGTTAGGGATTAATAGGATGGGAAAGACAGAATATCCTGATGAGGGCTGGTAACAGCACTGAGGAAAGAGAATGAGAAAAGACGAT